TGTCCTGTGTGCGCCACAGAGCCAGAGGCCGGGGAGGGCCCAGCTGGGAGTTGCAATGACACGCATTGCATTGCAGTGTTGTTATAGCAACTTGGACTCCATATCAAGCAGGCACCCTAGGCCCCTCACAGGAGCTCCCAATGGACCACGGAGAAGAGTCAGAATGCTGGCCATGCACCTGCTACACCCGCCAACCCCCGCACCCAGGGAAGCCACAGGAAGCTGGCTTCTGGCCTGGCTCTGCCCACCGCCCAGCTGCCTGCTTGTCAGCCAGGCCCGCTGCCAGGCCCCGCTTGGGCTTGCTTTGAGGCCTTGGGTCAACAGTTACCTCTGGTGCGCTGAGAAGAAACGACCCCCCCTCCCTGCTCTGGTCACCGGCCACGTGGTGATGCTCCCCAGGGCCCCTGCAGCACCTCCCACATGCCCACCTGCCAAGCGCCTGTGCTGTCAGCTCTCTAACCTGGACCCTGAAACAGTGAGCAGTAGGCCTGGGAGACTCCTCCTCCCGCAGTGGAGAGTCCCAGGGCAGGTCACTGCCTCTCCAAGCCACTGTCTCCCTTCTGCTGCTCAGGGCTGGCCCACCTATCAGCGCCCCTCACCTCTGCCGGCCACCTGGGGATGTGGAGGTGGCCCCAGCACCTCAGAAGCCCAGCAGACGGTGCTGCAACAGTTATTTCCATTTGCAAGTTCGCACTTCCACGAGTGTTTACTGAGCACCTACTGTGTGCTCTTCCTGTCCTGGGGCCACAGGGACAGAAAAGACACAGGTGGTCTGGGTGGAGTACCTGGGAGCCCAACACAGACAAGTGACCACAAGGCCACAAGGGACCTGCCACACGAGACTGCGTGAGTCTGCAGCCCTCCCGGGGCCTGGATTCCTGAAGGACTGAGCAAACCGGAGAGGCTGGCCAGGGTGCCAGGCCTGGGGGAGGGGTCCCTGAGTCACAGAGCTCCAGCTCATGCCCACACCCACTCTTGGACCACCACCCCATCACGACCCACACCTGCCTCCCCCCACGCACATGTGTCCTATGTGCACCACAGAGCCAGAGGCCGGGGGGGCCCAGCTGGGGGAGGGGTCCCTGAGTCACAGAGCTCCAGCTCATGCCCACACCCACTCTTGGACCACCACCCCATCACGACCCACACCTGCCTCCCCCCACGCACATGTGTGCTGTGTGCGCCACAGAGCCAGAGGCCGGGGGCCCCGCTGGGGGTTGGGTGCAGCAGGCTCCACACGGCTCCTCGCCAGGTGGGGCTGGCACCTGGCCGTAGCAGGCTGGGGACAGAGAGCTGACACCCGAGGGCAGGCTCAGGCTCAGGCCCAGCAGGTCAACCAGAGGCTGGAAAGACGATCAGGCTGAACCTCAAGGAGCTGCAAACACCAAGTGAGGGAGCTGCGCGCTGAGCACGGCAGGGAACGGTGCCTGCAGGGCCGCCCCTGGCGAGAAGAGCCAGACCGTGAAGGGGACTTCGGGGGACCGAGCATCAACCTCAGCAACTGAAGGTTCTGTGGACCCCGGACCAGCAGCAGCACACCCCTCCTCCCCACACCCGCCCCGCGGTCCTCAGGTTCATTAGCACCTCGGCTGTGGCTGATGGGGGGAGGAGGGCAGCCCTAAGTGCCGAGCCAGCTCCTCATTAGCGCTGCTACCGAGCCGCCGGGCTCCGAGGCGGCCAGCCCAGGAAGAGGCTGTTGTAATGTGGGGAGGCTGATTCCGGGCTGCCAGTTTTTAAATGAGGTCCCTTGCCAAACACTTGGCTAGAACAGATCATAGACCCCGGTGGAGGGCAGCCAAAGGTGGCTGGGGCACAGGGAGTGGGGCTGCACCCCGCCTCCTTCTGGCCAGTGCTGGTTCCCTGAGCAGAGCTTTGGTGCCCCCTTCCCCAACACATCTCACCCCCTTCTTGTTCACCCCCCCCCCAATGCCCAACTTCCTAGCCAGTGGAGGCTCAGTTCGAACCCCTCAGACCACACCCAGGGTCTGGCTTTCGAAACAAAAGGACAGACAGACGAATGCCTGAGCGTGGCACCTGGCTCCGAAACCCCAACAATGCCGGACTCAGTGACCGGACACCTTTCCACAGGTCAGGGAGAGCCAGCCACAGCCCAAAGGTGAGCACATTCTACCCACCTGCCCCCTGGCCTTACCAAGGACAGAATTCCGAGCTCCACCAGGGCCGCCCTCCCCTCCCACTTCCAAAGCGGACTCCTTGAAGCCCCAGCCCTGGCCAAGCTCCGCATGAGGACGGCGGCCCGCTAGGGGAGAGGTCCACAACTCAGCCTATATTAACATGCCGACGCCCTCTAACTCACAGGCATCTTTCTCTGCGCAAGCTCCTCCACGCCTGTCCTCCCGGAGAGCAGCAGAGCGGGAAGTTCTGGGTTCGAATCCAACGGATGCCTATGCCCATGACTCTGCTAAATTACTCAGCCCTGGCCTGAGGAACACACGGAACCTAGCAGGTGCCTGGCAACACCAGAGGTCACTAAACAGTGGTGACTGTCACGGAGACGTTACAAAGATGGTGCCGATGGCCGGTTCTCCTCCACTCCCACTGACTCACCTCGAAAACAGGCCACGCCTCGCCCTGGCCGGTCGGCCCATGGACCAGAGGCCCGGGTTCAGTTGCCGCTGAGGGCACATACGTCGGTTGCAGTGTGCGGCCCTGGTTGGGGTCGTGAGGGTGGCAACCACACAATGTGCCTCGCCACGCCTCACCATCTGGGCAGAGCAAGCAGGAGCAAAGGCAGCGGTGAGGCAGCCTGTAGGGTCACCCAGCAGAGGGGCAGCTGTGCCCTGGGAAGTCTTCCCACACCTGCAAACAATGTCTCCAAAGGCCCTAAGCTACAGCATCCACGTCTCTGCAATAGGGCTGATGCCACCCCTCCCTGTTGACAAGGGACATCGATCAGGATCCTGCACCTGAGACGCTGCAGTTTCCGTACCAAGGTGCTAACCATCATGGCTGGGGCCCCGTCCTCCACTCAGGAAACCAGAGGCACAAAATAAGACCATCCCCCACTGATCGTTGAAGAAAACAAGAAAGGTTTGTTGGGCTGGAGCTCTGGGCTGGGGCTCCCAGGGTCCGAGAGACTGCCTGCTCTGCTCTCCCAGAGGCAGAAGCCCAGGGCCTGGTGACGAGCAGTCTGCCGCCCCAGTCCCTGGAGAGACCCAGCTGTGCCCAGCCAGCACTGCTGCCGCCACCACAGACCCAGCCACCGGCACCAGGGAGCTGCGAGAGCCTGGCAGATCTGACCGGTGCCCTCGCCCCCAGAACACCCTTCCTGGCCAAACTCTGCTTTGCTGCCCGGCCCAGCACAGATCCCACACCTGGGAAGTCCTCCTTCGGGGCCCCCCAGCACCTGGTCCTTGTCACTACAGGCTCAGCAGACCCCTGGCCACCGTCTGAGTCTTCTCCCCAGCTGGAAGGTAAGTCCCATTGCCTGCTCCAAGCTCTCCACACTGAGCAGACCCCTGGCGACCAGGGCGCGTCTCCCCACGTCCTCTCTGCCGGCTGATGTGTCCAGTCCACTCGCTCATCAAAATCCGCTGGGTGCCCACCAGGCTACCAGCGCTGGGCTGGGTGCTCAAGATGCAAGGGTGACCGAGACAGAGGTCCCTACACCCCACGGGCATAACCGTGGGTGAACCCACCCCAGGGGAGGCAGGGAGCAGGAAGGCTTCCAAAGAGATGTTGAGAGGACGAGGGCATTCCAAGCAGGGGGCCTGGCATCAACTGAAAAAGCACGTGGACGTGCAGGACGCAGGACTCCTGCACTGCTGGGACCCATGACACAAACCATGAAAGGTGTGGCTGAAGTGCCAGGCAGGAGCCAGAACCTGACCTTCAGCCCGCAGGAGAGCCAGGGGCTTATGAACGCCTGCCCGAGCCCAAGCCCGTGAGCCCCAGACGGCAGTCCCTGTGCCTGGGCACCCACCTCAGGGCCTGCGGAGGAGCGAGCACCCAGGTGAGTTGTCTGAACACAGTTAGGGCAGCCAGGCCGACAGAGGAAGAGAGATAAGTTGGAAAGCCCCACCTCCTCCAGGAAGCCTTCTGGGATCTGCCAGTCTCCCACAGCCATTTGCAACGAGGGCTTAGCTCCTGCCCTGCACTGGCCTTGGCAGGCCTTGGGGGCCCCGGATTCCTCCCCAGGACCTACAGCCTGTGATGCTGGACCACGTGAAAGCCCTGTTGTAAGAGGCTGAAACCCTCCAGTACTGACGAACTTCACCCACATCCTTCACTTTGGTGTTTTGTCCACGCTGGGGGTGCAGTGACCAACAGCCCGACCGCTGCTTCGCAGGGAGGGACGGTGGAGCAGAACGGACGTGGCCGCTGGAAGGGAAAGGAGCTGAGATCTCAGACGGGGTGGGGGGCCCGCAGGGAGAGGGGATGGGGGAGGTGAGCCGCCCGCTCAGGGCGCGCCCGGGGGTGGCGGCCGGACTGCCGCCCGGCGCACAGGCTGTCTGCGGGGCTCCGTGCCACGCGAGGCCGGGGCCAGGACAGGGGGCGATGTGGGCCCACCGACAGGACGTCCGGGCGGAAGCACGAAGCCCCATCACCTGGAAGGTCCTCGAGGCCCAGCCCTCGGTACCAGGAGGCACCGTTTCGGTGAAAGTTGGAGGAAGGGCGGGAAGGCGCGCAGGGGAGCGCGCAGGCCCGGCTTTCCCTCGAAGGCGGGCTCCCACGCGCAGGGGACCGGGCCGGGCCCGACCCTCGGGCCCAACAGGTGGGCGCCGCGCCTGGGGAAAGCGCGCGCACCGCCCGGGCACCCGGAGCACGCAGGGCCGCCGCGGGGGGCGACCCGGCGCAGGCACCCTCGGCCGGACCGCAGCAGGGTGCCCCGGGGAGGCGGGGCGGAGCAGTCCCGCCCCTCCCACGGCGGCCCCGCCCCGCGGGCCCTGTGCGCCCCTCCGCCCACCCCGCCCCCCGCCTCGGCAGCGCGCCCTCCCGGCCCGCCCCAGCCGCCGACCCGCCGCGCGCCGCCGCCTCACCTGGACCGGGGTAGCTCGCCGGCGCGCTCCGTGCGCTCTCCGCGGGAGGGGCGGTGCGGGGGGCGGAGCCAGCACCCAGACACCGTGCGACGGCCCCTCCCGTAGCGGCTGGACGCCGGCAGGCCACGCCCCGCCCTCCCGTCGGCCCCGGCTCCTGGCGTCAACCAATGGCCGTCCGAGCTGCGGACGCGCGGCAGACGGCGTGCGCCCGGGACTACAAGTTCCAGAGTGCCCCGCGCGGGCGGCCGGAAGCGGCCTGGGACGGCGGCCGGCTGGACCCCAAAGCCCTTTCCCACGGCGCTGCAGCCCCTTCCCGGGCGCTGGGAGCCGGCGGGCTCACCCTGAGCGCCGAGCCTCAGGCTCTCCCCACCAGTGACGTGGAGGTGAAGTTAGACAAGGAGCGCGCAGGGCCTCACAGCCTGTTAGAAACGGGCCCCTGCCCGGGCCGATCCCGACCCCAGGGGTCCGAGCAGGCGGAGCGCGCGCCGCCCGGACCCGGAGGCCAGCGGAGCCCAAGCGCCTGTGCCCGGGTCGCAGCCCGAGCGGCCCTTCCCCGCGAGCAGCCGCAGCGCAGGTGTGCCCGCGCCCCTTCCTCGGATCACACGCCGGCGCCCCGCACGGTCATCCCTGAGCCCGTTCCCCACGGGCGAACCAGGAGCCCCCCGGGCCGGAGAGGGGCCCGCGCAGGACGTAGGCCCCTCTGACAACGGCCTCCTAGGCGGAGGCGCACCCCACCCCCACCCCCAGGGACAGCCCCGCGCCTCGGCCAGGGCCCTGGGGGCCGGGAGCGGGACTGTCTCCCCACCAGGCTGTGTCCGTGGACGGCTGAGCCCCGCAGCCTCCTGTGTCTGGGACTAACTGCACCCCAGACTCACCGTCGCGGGGGACGGCCCTGGCCCGTGCAGGTGTGGGTCCTGCCCACTGGGGGACGGGCTCCTCGAGGCCAGGCCATGTGTCTGTCCCCCCGGCGGCAGTGGGGTGCCTGGCCCCCGGAGCGTGAGGAGTGATTGAGGAAGCAGTTGAGCTGACTCGGGGGCTTATTTTTCACATGGTTCCCCCACCTAACCCGGTCTTGTCTCCAACAAACCTGCCCGTTTTGCTGTGTGATGCTGACCAGGGTGTGATGCTGACACCCTGTCCTGGGTGTCTTCTCCAAAGCTTCCGTGGGGGGTTGACAAAGGCCTGCCCAAGCCTGGTAAGGGCTGTGCCGGAGGGTGGCGCGCCGTTGGCTCATGTCACTGCACAGGGGTGATGTCACCAGGGGGGTGTGCTGGGAAGGGGCTGGCACAGGCCCAGCACAGGGCTGGGGTCTGACCCAGGCAGGCGCCTGGCCCCAGCCATTCAAGACAGTGGTGGAACAGCTCCTGAGGTATTGAACGCCAGGCAGGAGTGGCAAAAAAGAAAAAGTACTGTGCAGTAGTGCCTTAGCTGATCTCCAGGGAAGGACTTTTTCACTGTCCTGGAAAATGGCAAAACCTGCTTGTCCTCGGTCCCTGAGGGAGGAGACAGTGTCTGTCTGTCCCACACTGACCACCCAGGCTTGCTGCCTGGCACAGTGTCCCCCTCCTCTCTTGCCAGATCTGATTTCGTCCTGTTCACCGTCACTTACTCATTCAACAACCTTTTCTTCCAACGTCGGGCAGCCTGCTCGGCCCTGGGGATACACCACCTTATTCCTGGGGTGTTGAAAAGCTTTCCCAGAAAAGGGGCATTTGTCCTGGTCCAAACTGGCTGTTCCTCCTCCTTACTGTGTGACCCTGAGCAAGCCGCTGTACCTCTCTGGGCCTCCGTTCCTCCTCAGTGAAGGAAACGTGATGGCATTGCCCATCCCTCCACCGCTGACCATTTTAGAGCCATCTCAGGTGGCCCACCCACAGGTTACCTTGACCCAGGCCCTGGGGCAGCAGTGGCTGGAACCAGCGAAACCCTGCCGCCTCCCGCCACACGTGGGGGTGGGGAGACACCGCACACAGCTCCGCCCGGTTCCCAGCCACTTCTCTGCCAGGAGAGCAAATCCAGAGGCTCCAGTGTAGGACGCTGTTTTATTTGCACCATAACCGGGAAGAAAGAAGGGGGTGCTGGCCCTCCAAAAGGGGAGGGGGCATAGGGTCTGTCCCGGGGGTCTGGGCTCAGGATCTGCCGCCCCTCCCCGAGTGGCATCTGTCTCTCTGCCCCGGGTGCCCGGCCGTGTGGGTGTACTGCTCACCGGCCTCTCCCTGGTAACTATGGGCCAGTGCCGGGGGTGGGCGGCGTTGGGCATATTGACTGTATTTGGTGATCATTGCTGTATTTATAGGGCTTGATGGGGATAAAAATAAAGTGAGGAGGAGCTGCGTGAGTCACTGTGAGCGGTTCACAGTGTGGGCTCTGCCTCTCCCACTGGGTTTAGGAGCGGGGTCCCCACCACCACCTGCGCCTCCCTGCAGCTGAAGCCTGTGTCCGAGGGATGTCCAGCGAGGTCAGGGCTCGGCCTGTCCCTGCAGGTAGGACATTTCCTCCAGTCCTGAAACCCTAGGCAGGACCTGTGCTCCAGTCCAGGCTGGGAACCTGTGCATTGACGGTGTCCCCACCAGGACCGTGTGGTTGGACCCCCTCCGTGCCGCAAGGCTCTCATAAGCACTTTGCAAGGTGCTGAGGCAGTGCTGTCAGAGGACAGGTGCCCTGCGCAGGTCCCCAGCCCTGTCTGGGGAGCCCAGCCTCCCCTGCACCTTCTGACTGACCCTTTGTTTCTGCTCAGAGCTCAGGTCACGGCCTGTGGGAGGCAGAGGAGCAGTCCTGGAGCAGCCTCCTCACCTGCGAGCCACCTGCTCTCAGGAAGGCCAGATGTCGCCGCATGTGCCCTCTTTTGCTGTCTTTGCTCCACGTGCCCCGATATGGGTACAGTTGTGGGAAGTGCACAGCCACGTCCTCATGAAAGCCCCGCCTTTGTCCAGAGGATCAAAGAGTGGGGTCCCAGGGACAGAAAGTATCCAGAGGACACAGAGTAAGGACTCGGGAGAGTGACCCCCACAGTTGTTTGTGATTGCTGAAGATCAGCCCACATTGAGCATGAGTGGACCCCAAATTGCACACCAAAACTCTGCCAATCAGCTACAGGGTAGACACTGCCCAATTCCAGGATGGCCGCTGGACACTCACACAGGACAGATCTGAGTAGCACTGGAGACTTTAAACTCTGACCTGATGGAGGAATCAGACGGGCTGGAACTTTCAGCCTGGACCCAACTCGGCTGGTGGCTAAAGCAACAGTAACCACTCATGGGACTCCCTGTGTTAATTCGTTGTCATTGTCTGGGGTTGGGGCCTCAGCCTGGGCATCGCCCGGCTTTAGGAGCATTCCTGGGGGACCAGGTGGTGCCGGCAGCAGTGTCCTCAGAGGCGGGGTGTTCTTGCCATGAAGACATGGCGGCCGGTGATGCTCGGCCCCAGCACGGCTCCCTCCCGCTGCCAGGCTCCCATCCGACTCGGTACACATCCAGAGCCTTAGGAAGTAATGTTCCAGTTTTCCAGGGCACTGTCCGAGACGATCTGCCCATGAAGACACAGGGATATCAAACAGGCATGGTGTGTGGCACCACACAGTAAACAGGAGCAGTGCAAGAGAACGCAGACGTCGCGATCACCAGACCAGGACTTAGAAGCAGCTCTTGTAGACGTGTTCCAACAAGGAAAGGCAAACGCTCTGGAGGCGAACAGAACATGGACAGCTGCGGCACGAAAGGAGACGCAGGAGAACCAGACGGAAGCATTGCGACTGAAACAACCAAAATAAAAACACTCGTGGCGCAAGCTCGACAGCAGAGTGGAGTTGGCAGAAGACACAGCAGTGAACGTGGACACAGATAACAGAAACTATCCAGTATGGACGGGAGCGGAGCAGAGGCTGCAGGAAACAGACAGGGCCTCTGGGGTAACAGCAGACGGTCTAACATTCATGAACTTGGGGCCCAAGCAGAAAAAATATCTGAAGAAAGAATGGCTGAAAGTTTCCCAGATTTATAAAATGCACAAACCTACAGATTTCAGAAGATCAGTGAACCAAAGAAACTCATTCGCAGCTACACCAGAATCAAACTGCTAAAAATCAAAGCCAAAGAATAAGCTCTTGAAAGCAGACCGAGAAAAGTAACAAGTGATTTAGAAGGGAGAGATTATCTGAATGACCCTGCATGTCTGTCTCATCAGAACCTGGAGGCCGGAGGGAAGTGGAACAGCATTTTCCACGGGCCGAAAGGACGGGGCTGCCCCAGCCGGCAGGGCCCGCGGAAATACCTTGCAGGGATGAGGTGGAATTGAGGTATTCCCAGAAGGAGGAAACCTAGGGGGCGCTCTGCAAACTCTGCCCCTTCCCTGCGACTGCCCTTGCTTTACATAGTTAGGGGAAGGGCGAAAGACTTGGACAAACACGGCAGCCAAGAGGGTGCTGGGTTATAGACGAGTGTGGGGGGGGATGTCCACATCATTAGTGAGACCCAGTATCAAACCATAAGGGATACCACGTCACACCCACCAGAGCGGCCGAAACGAAAGCATCCTCTGCCCAGGGCTGTGGCCACACGGAGCCACAGGAACTGTGCTCCTGGGAACGCAACATGGCAGAGCCACCTCGGAATACAGTGGGCGGTTCTTAGCGAGTTATGGTGCATGTCCTAGGGGCCCTGTGGGTCCCCTCTGCGTGAACAGAAACATGTTCACAAGAACCTGTGCACGAGCAGCCTCCTAAGTGATGGCACCAAGTGGGACGCGAGCCGGTGTCCTTCCGTGGAGCATGGTTTGCTGGCGCACGTGTACCCAGACTGGGCCCCTCAGGAGGAAGGGGCGGACTTCACACATGCGGCCGTGTCGGGTGGGTCTCGATGGCGTTATGCTGAGGGGACGGAGCCAGCCTCAGGGGCGGCATGTGGTGTGGCTCCGCTGACATGACACCCCAAAAAGACAAAACCATAGTTTTGGACACACAGTGGTGGCCAGGGGTAGGGGTAGGGGAAGGTGTGGCACAGACAGGAAGCGTGTGGGAGCTTTTGATTAAACAAATACAAAAACATGTTAAAA